CGATCTCTATATTAGAAATGGCTTTCGATTTGATTTGTTGAGTCAATCGATTCGTTTGTTTCAAGTAATTCAATACAACGATATTCGGCACAAAATTACTGCAAAATATTTATATTATATTGCAATTATAAACAAAATGTTAATATATGTGCGAAAAATATATTAAAGAATATTCTTTACATCATATTCTGTTCGCCACATCCATATGGCATTTGCAGTAAATCATCCAAATTATGGACAATGGGTCCCATTATGTCCCCAATGGCTGTCACCCATATTTTCTGAGAGCCGGGAACCGCTATCTTCGGGATAATTATTGAGACATTTTTCGTCAATACATTCGCCGATTCTTTCAGATCCACGAGAACTGATTGATTAAAGTGTTGTGTCTGACCCTCGGGTTTCACCAGTAGTTTCCTGAGCACAGAGTCTCCAGCCATGGCTGAGTTAGCCGTCAGTTTGATGTCAATATAACCCATAGTTTTAGGTGTTATCGTGAATGTGACCGAAACGCCATCGTTGGCAGGGATTGACACCAATTGTCTCATTTCAGAGACATTTACGCCTTTTGTGTCCAATTGGTCGCTAAACTCAAACTCTTGTTTCTTGTTATGAAATACTACTTCCGATTGAATTGGTTTTGTGGTGTAATTGAAGACAATGGCCTCAATGGCTACCGTTTCGCCCCTTATTATAGAGTAAGGCAGCGATAGTTTGATGAAAAACGGTCGAAAAACTGTGACCTAAGGTTTAGTAATTGTTTTACATATGACTTGTTTTTGGGTAACCCTAATACCATACCTTCGTAGGTGTGGGTGCGATACCCAGACCAGTCTCCATATGCATAGCGAATGCGCTGATGAACCACGAGGTGATTGTGTCGGGGATTGTGCTCTTGATAACAGTGCAACCATTACTCCTAAAGAAATTAATTTTTAAAATTTTAATTAAAGTTATAATTAAACTGTAAAGTTAAAATTGGTTATTTGGTTACAAGTTACCCTATTTGCATTGAGGTCCATAACCAAGTTTCGGGAAAATGTTTTCTAGTTTTAACACTAATGCCGACATTGGTTTGGGTGGGACTTTGGGACCGGCGATCCAACGACGCTGAACGTGATACTGATCTTTTGCGCACTTGCACCTCCACATTGTGTTGCAATGATCGCCAAACTATTGACTTACGGATCACGGATCGAGATCTCCTAGCTAAAATACAGTCAAATTAATACATTTTACACTAATTTAGTTTATATACACAACAGTTGCAGACGATTAAACTGACCAGGGCATAGGCTGTACACTTCATTTCCATAAATGAAACCATTGGACACGACCACAACCCCGGAGTTGTCAAACACTTGTTCAGCGGTGGACGAGGTGTGCCCCCAAAAGGTGTTAATACCAGTCCTATCGTATGTCTGTAACTTTTGGATCACGTCTTTGTGTGTCATATCATTACCAGATTTCAGCAAAAGTACGCTCTGATCGACACCTACTATACCCACCCACGCGTCCGGCTTTGTATTCACTCTCAC